GAAGGCGTGAGCTAGGTGAGCTAGGTCTCAGGTCTGTCGCTACCAGAAAAGTGCTCTCTCTCTTCCCCTATTTTGTATTAAAGGCATCACCACTCCTGCTAAGCATGGTCAGGTTTTTAATTTAAATCTCCTGAAGGCTGAGGTGAAGACCTAAACCAAGGACTGGATTTCATGCTCCGAGTACCAGTCCCAAATGGACACCTGCCACAGATCGTGGGCTGCCCTCGGAGCGCCTCCTTCCTCCCGGCCTCAGCTGCGGCAGCCCTGTGGGACCCACTTCTGAGCCACCCAGTTCTCTCTCCCACCTCCTGGAGCCGGCTGCTGAACTTGCCTACATCCTGGAGGTGCAGGTATGGCCTGAACGCTGCAGAGACAATGGAACAGAGTAGCACCATAGGTCCTCTCCTAGGTACTTATTTGAACAGCATTCCTGTGATAGAGCCTGAAACAGCAAGGTATGGGAGTTAAATTTTGCATGCGCCGATACATTGCTGTAGATTCTAATGTTCTGCTTCCTTAGATGGTTTGAAAGACGAAGTAGCAGCATTGAGAAATAAATCATCAGTAATCTCTAAGCAGCTGTCGAATGGGATCTTTCATCTCGTTAACCTCAAGCCGCCTTAAAAAATTTTAAAGAAAAAAAATGGCATGAAGTATTTTTCTGGGGCTTTGAAAAGTGTTTGCGTCTAGGTTTTCTATTTATAGATCCATTACTGAATGTATACTTTGCCCCTAAACGAGGCAAGTGCAAGGTTAGCAAAAGATAACCTGTCTCCTCAAGAGGGACAGGCCTATTCCCACACACTGGGTTTGTATCTTGCAAGTTTATTTTTCAGAGTTCAACTGTCAAAACCTCAGAGAACACACCTCAGTGGAGATTTACTGTCTCTGCTTGCACGGCGGCAGAGGAACCACAACACATTCCGAGATTAAGAGGTCCAAGGTACCTCTTAGGTGTATGACACCGGGTATCAAAAGTCTCGGGCCTGACAGCTCATGGAATTTTAGTATCGTGTAACTACATGGTGTTAATGACGCCACTTGGTTCTCACGCATTATTTTTCATCCACAGAAGTGGGAGCAAACGTTTATAGTCCTTTCATTGCCCTACATATATGTGATGGGTTTGTGTAAAAGGGTTCTGGTGGCAGGAGAGGGGATTTGCTCCCTGTGACTTCCCTGGTTTTGGAACTGGGTCAGACCCGGTTCTGGCCACCAGATTGGACTCCCATCCCCCTCGGGGTTGAGCCAATTGGCGCCTCTGCCAATTGCCCTATTTAAATTGGGACAAAGGAACCGGAAAAGGTGCTTTGCCTAGGAGTGAGGAGAGAAGGGAGGAGGGCACTGCTCCTGCTCTTTGGCTCCCGGCCGGGCGGCTGCCCACACCAGGCCGGCACCACCCGCTGAGGATGGCGATGGCAGAGCCACCAGGGGAACTCAGGGAGCGCCTCGCTCCCAGGATGCCCACTGGGCCAAGTTCACCCAGAGAGGACTAAGACCTGAGAGAATGGCCACACCGACACCGGGTCAGTGAAGGTGGAACGGGACGAGCTGTGCTGGAGCTGAGTTTCCCCTGCAACCGGTGGCGAGATGGCAGCAGCCCCCCTGCAGCCAGGTCAGGCTCGGTGGAGTAGAGATCCATTTGCAGCCCATGGAGAAGCCACGTTGGAGAAGAGATGCCTAAGCCTGAGGACAGTCGTGGAGAACGGGACACACGACAAGGTAGAGAGGCATCTAAAGTCCGTGGCCGTGGGACGACCCACACCAGAGCGAGTGGCAACAACTCCGCAAGAATCTGTGACTGTGGTAAAAGCCAGCACTGGAGCAATCTAATGGGGAAGGATTGCATCCTGCAGGTAGGACTTACGCTGGAGAAGTCTGCATATTTTTCTTGTGAGTAGGGGATCCACTGGAGCAAGGGAAAAAGGATGTAAGGACTCCTCCTCCTTTAAGAAAAGGAGCGACAGTAACAACATGGGATGAACTGACCTGCACTCCCCCATTCCCTGTCCCCCTGCGCCGCTGGGGAGGAGGTAGAGCCGAGAAGAAAAGGAAAGGAGGGGGGAGGTGTTGTTTTTAAGATCTGGCTTTGTTTTCTTTTTATCCTCTCAAGTAACTTGTTAATAAATTATTTTATTCCCAAGCCGAGTCTGTTTTGCCCGGGTGGTGGGTGGGCTTTATTCCCAAGCAGAGTCTGTTTTGCCCGGGTGGTGGGTGGGTGCTTTCTCTGTTCTTGTCTCGACCCTCAGTCCTTTTATTTTTTTTTTTCTCCTCTCCACTTCACTTGGGGAAGGAGTGAGTGAGCAGCTGTGTGGAGTTTAGTTTCCGGATTGGCCTAAACCACGACAATACATTTGAGTGTTTTAAATGGGACTACACAAAAAGGGATCTTCAGTCTGGAAGTACTGTATAGTACTACATATACACCTTTAAAGGTATACTACTCAGCATACCTTTAAAGAAAGCAAAAAAAGCCAACCCCAACCCAGAACAGCAGAACCATGCGGTAGTCCAACTGTTCACTCTTCCACCCCTCACCTCGAGCAGCCCCTAGAAACTCTGCCAAGGAATTACAATCAAATACATAAGCCCTCTGGAGATCTGAGACATCTCTATCCCTTCCTGGAGCTGTGGAACATGACATGGCATTTAACAGTCTTTCGGATTTCTCAAGTTAAAACCGTGCTGATAAAACGCCACACTGATGTGCTCCCACGTGAAAGTCAGGCTGCATTTCAGATCCAAATGTTCTCATCCCAATCTTACCCAAGGAGTAACTTACATGTAACAGCTACATAACAAGGCAGCTGTTGAGAGACTCAAAAACCAGGCATGGATAGATTCAGTATCCAACATCTTGCTAAGTTCTATACCAAGTACCATCTCCTTGCCAATAAAACCAGCAGTTCTGAAAAAGTCTCTTTCTCAGATCTTCCTGCCTTATTCCTGCCAGGAACAGGAGATTTGGAAAGCCAAATGAGGTGTTTGGGTGCAGCTACACCTTTCGCACTCGGATTGTGCCCTCGCTGAAGCACTTGGTATACTTACTATGGAGAGTGTAATGTGGTTCACAGCTCGTCTTCCAACAAGGCAAAAGCAGGAAGGAGGTGAGCAGGGTCTGGGAATCAGGGAAATTACACAGTGCTGGCAGTTACTGGAAATCACATCATTTGCAAACTGCCCGTATACAGAAAAATTAAGTTGGCACTCGGGGGTGCCACGTTTTATGGGAAAGTTGAACTAAAATGTGTAACCTCTGTCCTCTTGGAATGCTATCTGTGCTTTGTGGAACACCAATACATCTCTGGTTACACGAAGCACTGAAAACCAGCAACAATCTAGGGCAAAGTCAGCCGGGTAAAATCACGGCCTGTAAAGTGGGAAGCTATCCTAAGTACTTAATCTACCGCGTCACAACATGACCTATTTTTTTTTCCCACTGAACCTTCTCAAAAGGCAAAGGGTTTTGGTTCATGTCTAAGTTCATACAAGATCCTGGACTAACATCACTGTTACGTTCCAGTGGTGTATTTTCAAGGACAATTGAACACTCATGGACATTTACAAGTAAATTGAGCAGATGCACAAACCCCTCCTAAGCCTGACTTTTGGTGAATTTCCGGCATAGCTCCTGGATATCCCTTTCTAAGAAGGGCTAAACCACTGATACTTTCTGGACAGTGCAGGACCACAGAACCGATGCAATGCTTATCCTGAATTCACGCAACGTAGAAGACGAAGCCTGTACACCTTTAGGTTATTTTGCTACCTGCAGTAATTATTGCGCTTTTATGAAGGGCAAACAACAAGTATTTTAGTACGAGAACTGTTCAAGTAAGTTTTAATAGAGTGCACCAGTGAATCAAGATGACTTGCATCAGATTTTGTTTCAATGAACATCAGATAAAAAAAAAAGAAAAGAGGCTACAGTTCTTTCTTTCCAAACACCACCCTTTTTCTAAGGCAACAATACACGTCCATTTCCGAACATAACCGTTACATAGGAAAGCTACATCACAGTACAGTATGTAAAGTCCATCTCGGTCAAGAAGCCATTAGAGAATGGCACATTTACTACACTTACAGCCTTCTAACTTAGGGTTACAGAGTTTACCACAGCTTTTTTTTTAAGTTTTATTTTTTAAAGTGACAATTTCTTAATGAACTTTCTATTCTTCACGAGAGTGTGCAGATGGGGCCCATATGTTGATATTACAGTAATTACGACATTAAATAACATTGCACAACCAACCTCTATGGTTAATTCAGTACAAAATAACAAGTATTAAAATGTACCAGTACTAGTGGTTTTACATAGTTTATAATCATTAATTATGAAGGAAAAAAATGTGGTGTGTTTTTTTTTTTTCTTTTCTTTTCTGTAGGCAAGTGCCTAATTACAAAGCTGCACATTACAGGCATAATGATGTGGAATAAATACAAGAAATCTGGTAAAATATTAAACACAAACAGGTTACATGGGAACAAACTGTACAACCACAAAAGCATAAACCAACAATTTATCATTATAAACAATGTATGTTTAGCTGTAAAATATTATGTGGAATTGCATGTACTCTTTGGGGGCACATGTTCCAAAAGCCAAGCTAATTCCTGAGGTGGTATTATTAACTTATACAATTGGTCAACGCTTCAGATTACCTTGTGCTATTAAACAGTCCCAATATTAATATATTTCCATAAAATGGAATTTATAGTATTCTGAAGGCAGCAAACAAGTGATATTTTACACCATGATATTCAACTGAAATAATTAATGGTTCTCCATTTTGGTGCTACATTTGTTAGTGGGCCATGGGAGCACGCACTGTAATTTGCAGACAGAACATCACTTACGCCTGTGTTCCCTTACCGTGTTCCCCCACAGCTCTGAGCTGGCCCAAGGCAGAACAAAGTTTTTAAACTGTAAGTGCCAACACTGTAAACATGTTTGTTTGGTTTTGTTTGTTTGTTTTGTTTTTTTTTATTATTTTTCCCCCAACTAAACACTGTCCAATAACAAGGATAAGAGCCAAAGATAAGCAGGAACAGTCTCGTGTAGAACAAAAGCCGATTATTCATCGACTTTTGGTTCAAATCATGAACAATCTTTAAATAATTAAAAATGGTCATGCCACAGTCGTGAAAACTATTGTTGTGCATTTGACTCAGGACACAAGTTTTTTAAAAAACGCATGATAGAGGTAAGACTTATAAAAACCACCAAAAATGTAAATGATAGGGAAGAACTTTTCCAACTGAAAGCATCAAACATACATTTCTGTGCAGAAATCTAGACAACTATACAAGATCTGAATTTAAGCAGTCATCTTTTTATTATACAACTCTATGAACATAAAATGAACAGAATGCTCTATATACTTACCTGTACATGTGAACATAACTTCTTTAGCTACAGTTATTTAATATAGGTCATACTGGATTTAACTTTACAATTCTGAATAACTATGTATAACCTTATTGCAATAAGGGCAATTTCTACATGGGGAGTTTCACAGGCCAATCACATTAGGCGTAACCAGTACATTCAAAGTGTAGATCATGTATGAATCTTCCCTGATCCAAAAAAATTTAGGTTCTGCTTACAGCTTAAGCTCGTTTGCTATCTTGGATGCAATGTTCTTAAATGCGATAGAAGTCCCAGATATTCTCTTGAAACGAACTCCGTTGAGCGACAACCGTGGCAGTTTGCAGACCTCCATCTCCCACTGAACGAGGCTATCTTGTCGTGCATCACCGTGAACACAGAAGAGCAAAAACCTCTCTTTTTGTTCGTAATCACAGTTATTAGCGTCTAACACTTTCCGAATCTCTCTCATCATATCATTCGGGTCCATAGAACTAGTAGTCTTCATACTCCACGTGAACCGCAAGGAGCGTGGCTTCGAATCTTTGCTATCCTCCTTCTCTCTGTCTTTTGGCTCCCCAGAAGCACTCCTGGAAGAGGTGACATACAGAACAGTCAAAAATAAAAGCAGTATAGCCAAGAGACAGAAGAGAAATATAGTTCTAGAACAGGGGTTTCTAAACTGTGACTGACACACCGCTAGTCACACGCAAGCTAATTCAAAGAGTTAGATGGATACTGTTGGAACGGTTGTGCACCATCTCCTACACTCATGTGCGCTTCGGCACAGTGCTGGGAGCTGCCACCAGCACCAGTACAGATCCCAGTGGTGGCACACAAGCAAAAGCAAGTTTGGAAACCCCTGCTTTAAAACGTTCTGATGACATGTGCAATGGTAACTGCAGCAGACACACGTTACTCCATACTGCTCCAAAGAAAGTGAAATCTATGTAAAAGCATGACTGAAGTTCTGCTGGTTTCATGATCTGGAGCATGCCATACACCAACAAAACTGAAGTTGAGGGACACAATCCTGAAGCATAAATCATACTGTAAAAAGCAGCAGAGGAAGAAACCCCACCCTGCGATTCACAAGTCTTCAGTTAATTCCCTCCCTTCTTTTCCATCTTTCCTTTTTGTATCTATAATGTATTTTTGACCTCTCTCTGTGTAAAAAAACCTTATAATAAAGTGCTTTATTTTAACTGATGAAACAGAATTTTGTGCTGTAATTTGGTTGTAAACAGCTTGTTTGTCAACCAGTTGAGTAAACAGTCAGCAGCTTTTCACAGAAGAAACAGTGACATGTAGACACAAAAGTGTTTTAGTCGATACAATGACTTGGACAAAATTTCAAGAGAGTAATTTCCAATAAATGTTCTTACTCTGGCGCTTCTTTACCAAACAGATTACTTATTCCATTGTTTTGAGAAACAGCACTAATTATTTTAAAGTAATTCCATGGCCAACTATTTCCGTTCTTGTCCCAGGTACTCAAGATGCCTGATGCCTCCCCATCTGTCACTGGGGAAAGGTGCTGTTCTCATTTTGGTAGTCTATAACTGTCACTATTCAGAGAGGAGTCAAAACAAGCATTTTTAATTTAACTTTCCACGTGATCCCCAGAGAACTACATCAATATTAAGGGATAGAGCATGGCAGGGATAAGATCTCAAACGACTTTTAGCCCAAAACAGACACTGTAGGATGACAAAAAGTAGAGGAAGCTAGAGAATGAAAGCAAGAGCTGAAAGCAACTTCACAATTCATTTGAACATTTCATTAATCTCTTTTCCCTTTCCACATCAAGAATTCGACAGCTAATAGACTTTGAATTGAAAAGGGCTAACGTAGATAAAATGCATTGTGTATTATACAATGTATCCTGTTAAGAATGTGCTGCTTTTTTTTTTTTTTAAATAAAGGCTTTCTGTTTTGAAAACTAAGTCAATACTTTCTGTAAGTGACCAGTTTAGAATGCAAACTACAATGCCTGTTCATTAGAGAGCATAAAAATAAAAAGTTATGCACTGTGCTAAGCACACCAAGAATGCAGAACCAAATGCTGAAACATGGCAAGAGAGCAGATACACTGGAAAATGAGCATATGAAGAAACGCTTTATTACTAACAAAGCATCTATAGATTTGTGTACAGCAGTTGCCATACAAATTCAATATTTAGCAGTCACCACCCTTTTTGTCTGAATGTCACTTATTTTACTTCTCAGTGCAAAGTGACATTCTTTTTAAGGGACTATAAGGTGTTTACTTCTGGCAAACAGCAGCTTTAGCTTTAGTAATGAACACAGTATGTAGCTATAGTAAAAATTTAATATATACATACATTCACACACATACAAAGTATGCTACATTTTCCACTGAAACCAAAAGTAAACACCACTAAATATTTATAAGCCAAAACATGACTTTAAGAGCCTAAATGATTGGTTAACTCCTACAGGGGGCTTTTTTATTCAAAGGAATATGCTTAAATGAAGTTTTATATTAGATACTTTGCAAGAAAGCAAAATGAGGGATAAAGGACCTCACCAAAACCCCCTCCCCCCAAATAAAAAACATTTTTGAAATGAAGATTACTTAAGTACTATGCTATTTTACACCCTGATTAAAATTTTTAAGAAATCACTTAAACCTTGATGCGAAAGACCTAGGAGCGAAGTATTAATAGTGGCTCCTCACCTTGAGGTGTCAGTTCTGCCACTGGCTTCGCCTTCACTTGGATCCCTCAAAACAAAGTTAAGGTTGAGATTCAATGATAAAGGTGAAAAATAAAAGTTAAGAAAACCTACATCTAGAACAATGTTAAATAGCTACTGAACAAAAAAAATAATCAGTATAATAATGTCAAGCCTAATACTGTTTAATAGTATTTTTTTCACAGCTGTAATTATAATTCCCCTTTATGATACCTTAACTTCCTTCAGCTCCGACGTGTAATTGTTTAACTTTTTTTTTTTTTTAATTGATGCTAAAATTAACACGTTGTTCTCAACCTACTGCAGACAGAGCAATGGCCACATGTAATTCCAGCAAGCACAGAGGAGCAGTAGATCAAGGTGGTCCAAAGGGGCTCCGCTCTGCACCCTTCTGGGCCAGGCCTTCAGTCCTCAGTCCTGAAAGCACTTCGGCACATGCCCATGCTTAAGCACACTCAAGTAATTAAAGGTAAGACGTGCCTAAGAGTTTGTGAGACCAAATGTTTGGAGCCCAGTTCAGAAAGGTTACTTCAGCATCTGCTTAACTTTAAGCAAATCAGCCGTTACATTGACCTTGGCAAGATTACCGGTGAGTTTGAGGTTAAACGTATCTTTTATATCTTGTTGAATTAGAACTGTACTTTACCAAGGAACTGTTCTGTATTGTGCCTTTTTAGTCTGAAGCAACTTGAAAAATATCCACAGATTGTATGAGCCACCTAGGTATGTTCCTAGTGCTACTCTACAAACATTTTAGCACCCAATTTCAATTAGCTAATTAAATACCTTCAAAACACAAATACTCTATCTAGTAACAAATATAAGAGAAGTATGATTTGACATAAATCATTGATACAAAATACTTCAATACCCTATTCATTAAGCATTCTAATTATGCACTTATTTTATATACTTACCAGAAAAGGCATTTACCTTTGCCAAAAGATAGTAAAAAAGTCTTTCATGACATGTTCTAATCAAAGTATGCTTTAAACCATTATTTCCTGAACAGTACAGAAGTTAAAAGGCATGCAGTTATGTGATCCAACTGAAAGAACAGCAATAACTCCCCTGAACCTCCACCCCTGTAATCCCAGCCACTAAAAGTCTCAAACAACTCAAAGTTTAAAAAAAACCCCTACAACAAAACACCAACACCTCCCCCACCCCCCCAAGCAACAAAACAAACAAAAACTCTGAGGCCTTCACTATTGGAAAACGTATTTGTAGCACTATAAAACATAAGAGGAAATTGTATAAAATGTTCTATAGTAAAGATCATTTTAAAAGTCATCACTTTACAATGTTAATTCTAAATACATAGTTTACAATATTATTTTAATATTGTAGTTTAATTGTGTATAATGAAAACATTAATTATTTGATCTGACTCTTCATAAAAATTCAAGATACCATTCTTTGCAAAAAACAATGAGCTATAATGCAAAAAACCAGCCTGTGCTCTTGAAATTGTTTAGTTACTTAACAGAAAATACCTTTCGTATTTGGAAATCTACACTGACAACACAGTTGATTAAATTTGCTGTAACTTTT